CTAAACACATGTGCTTAACTGCACTGCCTCCTGTTTGCTCATATTTACAGGCATATTCATGTGGAACTCTGTTGTCACTATTGGTAGACATTTCTAACAAACACAATGCTCTTTTTGTTGTTGTTACCCAGCAACAACCACACTCAGTTTCTCAAATTCCAGAAGCTTTTTGTGGCTTAGGGCTGAATATCTGAGTTAGACTGACTGCCTCAACCCCACTGTTCACTCAGTTCTTGCTTAGTGAACTTTGTACAATATTAAAACTAGTTGATGGGGGTGAAAGCATGTATTTATCCTTACATACTGGAGGATTTATTATTTGTTGGAAGCATTTCCATCTAGAAAATATCAATGTTGCTCATCCATGTCATGATAAACCATTTATCCACCTTCCTTACACATTTTGGAGAAACTGTGACTAAGATAATTAACGAATGGGAAAACATACCCAGCTGAATTAAAAGGTAAAGGTTCTGAGTTTCATTCTAACTAAAAAATATCATGTACTTTCTCTGAGCTTGTTTCCTCTTCTGCAAAATGAAAATGATAATCAGACAGCCCAAATGATTGTTAATAAGGATCAAATGAGAACGTGTCTGTGGGTCCAATCAATTGATTCTACGCAAAAGTATGTAACTATTGCCACTGATATCTTTTTAGAAGTCACTAGCAGTGTGTTGTATGCTTATTCAGTTTAAAGGGATCTATTTTATAGTTGCCTTCATGAAATGATAAAAGGTAAGCCTCCCGATACAGAGCTCACAATCTTCATTTCCCTAACCTGCCTTAAATGTCAATAACCTTAATTTACCTTCTGATAGTCTCCTTGACTGCCCTTGCTGTCTGAAGATCAGCCTTTTCTTAAGATGCCAAATGGTGAAGAAAAATAGCATCTAACCACCCCTCCAGAGAAGATCAGAATAATGATTCAGAATGCCTCTAGTGTTTTGTTAAATTATCATTTGAGAGCAGCCCAAGAGAGTGTTTAGAGAGGTATGGTATAGTGCTTAAGAGCCAGGATTATGGGTTCAGATCATGGTTTCAAATCCTGACTCCACCCTTGATTAGCTACCCACATTCCTCAAGTGTCTGACCACATCTATGAAGTGGACATAATCACAGTAACTACCTCTTAGTATAGCATACATATTTTAAATTACTTAATTTTTGTAAAGTATTTAACACAGTGAGGAGTATGCACAAAACATCCTATACATGTTGATTACAACTATAAAATACTCCCAGATTCTGAAACACAAAATCACAGAAATACAAAGCCACAGCAACAAGCACACAGTGGGAAGTAATAAGCTTGACTTCTCCCTCGTTCTCCTTGCCCTCCCACTTCCCTTCACCGTTATCTGCCCAAACAAGCTGGGAACAGTGGGCAGGGAGAAGTAATTCCATCTCCAGTAAGGTTTGCCAAGGCAGGCAAGTAGAAAGCGGAATGACAATTGAATTAAATGGTGCATTCCTGTTTTGCTAAGGATATTACCTTGATGAAGAAATAAAGGAAAGCAAAATCTTTGGGAAGCAATTTGGCCATATGCATTCAGGACAATAAAAACTTTCCTACTGCTTGTCTCTCGATAATGACATTTCTTAAAATTTATCCTGAGAAAATAATCCAAAACAAAAGGAAAATTATACCTAAGATGTTCACTGCATTATTTCTTAAACAGTTTTATTAAGGTGTGAAAAGAAAATAAATCTTGGGACCCCAAACTTACTAAGCCAAAGGGAAAAGTCAAGCTGGGAACTGGGTTGTGCAAATCTGCCTCCTATTTCGTTTTTTTGTTTTGCTTTGTTTTTTCTAATTTTTTTTTTTTTTTTTGAGGTGGAGTCTTACTCTTGCCCAGGCTGGATTGCAGTGGCACAATCTCAGCTCACTGCAAACTCTGTCTCCTGGGTTCAAGCAATTCTGCTGCCTCAGCCTCCCAAGTAGGTGGGATTATAAGCACACACCACCACACCAGCTAATTTTTATATTTTTAGTAAAGATGGAGTTTCACCATGTTGGCCAGGCTGGTCTCAAACTCCTGACCTCATGATCTGCCCACCTCCGCCTCCCAAAGTGCTGGGATTACAGGCGTGAGCCACCACGCCCAGCCCTGTTTTGCTTACTAAGCAAGATGGCTGCAAAGATGAAAAGCTACACACCTCCCTCACATTTTGCCCACAAGGAAATGTGGTCCCCAAGATCTTTACCCTAAAGCAGTTCAGCTAAAGTTCACCATGGCAATGTAAAGAGCTTATCTTCACAGGTGGGGGACACAGGACAGAACTGAAAGTCATCCCTCTGCCCACTGAGACAAATGCATATCTGACTGTTTCCTCTGTCCAATTGTCTACATTATCTTATGTAAAAATGCAGATTAACTGAGTGGAGACAAAGGCATGAATAACTGTTTTCCCCTACCCTCACCCCATGAAAATTGTGTATTTCTCAATGTCCTGCCATTACCCCTTTAAATACTGAAGTCGCCAAAATCATCTTAAAAGAAAGGCATAGACTTGTCTCCTGGGTGCACTTCCTTAACTTTGGCAAATAAATCTCCTAAAATGACTGAGACTTGCCTCAGTCATTTTCCTTGATTGATAAAGGTATAATTCATCCTTTTTTTTCTTTTGAGACGGAGTCTCGCTCTGTTGCCAGGCTGGAGTGCAGCGGCACAATTTTGGCTCAGCTCACTACAACCTCTGCCTCCTGGGTTCAAGCAATTCTCCTGCCTCAGCCTCTGGAGTAGCTAGGACTACAGGCAGGTTCTACAATGCCCAGCTAATTTTTGCATTCTTAGTAGAGATGGGGTTTCACCATGTTGACCAGGATAGTATCTATCTCTTAATCTCATGATCCACCTGCCTAGGACTCCCAAAGTGCTGGAATTACAGGCGTGAGCCACCACGCCTGGCCAATTCATTCTTTTAAAGTACACAATGCAGTGGGGTTTTTAAAGAACTATTCACAGAGTTGTGCAAATATCACCATTATGTAATTTTAAAACATTTTCACCACCCCAGTATGAAACGCATTTGCAGTTACCGTCGATTTCTCCCTCTGCCTCCCCACCCCTGGCAACTTCTAATCTACTTTCTGTCTTTTGCATTGTTATTTTTAAATTAATTTTTGAGACAGGGTCTCACTCTGCTGCCCAGGCTGGAATGCAGTGCATGATCATGGCTCACTGAAGCCACAACCTCCATGGTTCAAGCAATCCTCCCACCTCAGCCTCCTGAGTAGCTAGAACTACAGGCGTGCACTACTACCCCAGCTAATTTTGGGTTCTTTTTTTTTTTTTTGGCATGATCACAACTCACTGCGGCCTCAACTTCCAGGGCTAGAGCAATACTCCCACTTCAGCCTCCTGAGTAGCTGGAACTATAGGTGCACAGCACTACACCCAGCTAATTTTTGTATTATTTTTGGAGAGACATGGTTTTGTCATGTTGCCCAGGCTCATCTCAAACTCCTGTGCTCAAGCAATCCGCCCACCTTGGCCTCCCAAAGTGTTGGGATTACAGGCATGACCACGCCCACCCTGCATTATTTTTAATGGCCAAAAATATTGAGTGAAATAGGTTCAGTGTTATTGAGCAATGTATCATGAGGATATATTAATCAAATTACGGCATATGGATTCAACAAAATATTACATGGCTATTTGAAATTACTACAATAAAGTCTTTATCAAGGTGAAATATATACTATATAAAGTATAAAACTTTTAAAAGATACAAAGTGGTGAGTATATTCTGGTTTGCATGTGGACAGCCTGAAAGAAATATATAAACATTTAAATGGCCATGTTAGGATAATAAGATGGTAGGTAATTTTTTTTCTTTAGCTTTTAAATATTGTCATGTTTTATTTTTTAACAAATACAATTTTTAAAAGTTGATTTTACATTACTGGAATTGAGAATGTGTGAATGGGCACAGCCAGTCAGCAGTCTAGCCTCTCCAGCTGGGATCCAGTTCTTATCTATTGTACCCTCCTTCAGGCAACCAAGAGCCTTAAGCTACAAAGGTTCTTCCTCTCCCAGACTCTCCCTTTACACTTCAGGCCCATCCTCTTTGGCTCCTTGCCACTTACCCTACACCTTCCCATTCCCACAACTCACTCCTTAACAAAGCCCCCTTTCCTATCACACACACCAATGACCCTTGGCCAATTTCCTTCTATTCATGTTAACTGTAAACTGCACTCCTGATTCCAGCTGTACTTTCCCCTTCTGAGCAGAACAGTGAGGAAACTGGCTGATACAAAACAACAATCCTTTCACTCCCGGGCCTACTTTGCATAGAGACATGCCTCATTTAGACACCCACAGCCTTCCTGTTGTGTCTCCTTCCTCTCTCCACTATTGATATGGGGCCCTGGGACCGAGATTCTTCAATATCCCACCAGTGACCACACATATATACCACCACTACAGACACAGTTATCCTCATTCTCTCTCTTTCTCTCTCTCTCTCTCTCTCTCTCTCTCACACACACACACACCATCTGCTATGCTCCTCCACCCCAGCTGTCCCTGGGGAGCCTGTATTGGATTTGTGCCCCATCATCTGCAGCTCCTCTCGGTCTGTCTGTTGGTCATGCTCTGAAGGAATGGAGCCCAGTCTTGTCCATCCTCTGGCTCAAATAAAACGTATGCTTCTACCCACTCTCCACTTCCAAGCACCTACCCCACTCGGACTTAACTGCCTGACTCACAACTAAAAGGAATGGCTTTTGGATCTTCACAGGTGTGAGGCCTGGTGAGAGGGGAGCCTTCTAGTTAATGAGCACCTACCATGTGTCAGGAACCATGTTACTTTCTGGGATTCAGAGATGATTAAAACTAATCATGCACCTTGAGAAACTCACAGTGGAAGGAAAATCAGTAAGCAGAAAAATGCTAGATAGCCAGGTAAATGCTGGGACAAATTTAGGAAGGAATGCTGTGGATATACTGGAGGCAGGCTCCAAAGCAGGCATCACCTCAGAGGTGGATTTTGAAGTTTCAAGAGCTAACTGGGTCAAGAGGTATACACACAAACACTTCCGACAGGTCTGCAGAAAACGGTGAGTCCCCAAAAATAGCAGCTGGGCTATTCCATGCCCAGGATAGCAGGATACACTATTCCATGCCCACACCGTTGCTTCCTGTGTGCAATGCACCGTGTGATGATCTACAGAGATTAAATAAGCCATGGTCTGCTCCCAGTCACTTGGGAGGGAGCTACAAAATAAATTACCCAAAGAGAAGGCAAAGTACCTAGAGCTGTAATTAACATACAATATGGGCTGAGAGGGAAAGGTTAATGCTAACTCTGGTCCTAAGTACAAAGATCACTGGGAGTAAGAGGTGTACTCTCTTTAGGGCACAGCATGGGTGGGTGGAGAGAGTAAAAACCAGAACAAATCAAGGTGCAGCGGGTTGCAGGTCAGCCTTAGGGGAAAAAGGGGTGGAGACTGGCTGGGCTAGAACCAGGGATTGGGCAGAGAAAGAGGGTGGGGCCAGTGGGCTCCTCCTACCCACTCCCACCCCTCCTGCCGCCATCTACTTTCTGCAGTCTGTGGAGACAGGTGAGCCAGGAACTCCTGAGACAGGTGTGGGTGTGAGGGTCGGGAGGGTCATGGGATTGGGACCGAGGTATGAGGAGGGAATCTGCAATTCCTTGCTATACAGAGCTCTGGCAACTTCTGGCAGCCTGCTTTTGGGGTATGGGCTGCCTCGGGTTGTTGCTGTTTCAGAGGAAAGAACAGGGTTCCCCTGCCCTCTGCCTCCCAGCTGCTGGACTAACTCCTAGCAGGAAACTTGTAAACTGAGTTTAGCGAGTTAGGATCAGCAGAGGGTAGAGGAAGGCCCTGGCACATGTGGAGTCCAGAAGAGGACAGAAGTGATCAGGGCCTCTGGCCACTGTGCTGGGCCTTTGCCTGTACGATTCTTTCTCGAGCAGTTGTGTCCCTGTGTCTTTGGTGTGCCTGTGTGCACTTTCTCCCTCCACCAGGAGCATGGGCTGACACCGGAGGAAAGGAAAAAAGGGAGTCAGACAGGGTAAGTGGGGCTCCCTCCCCTCTTCTCTCTCTTAACGGGGCTGGATTGAGGGCTGGGAGGTGGGGAGTGGAGATCCAGTAGGAACAATCACAGAGGGAGGGCAGGGCCTGGCCCATCACCTGAATTCCAGAGATGCCAGTGTGCACTGAAGCCCCAGACAGGGTGTGCCCAGAACCGGATCCTGGATGGTGGAGAGGGACAGAGCTGGAAGGGAGACTGCAGGGAAGGGAAAAGGAAAGAAGGCAGAGCCATGACACAGTCAACTTACAGAATGGCTGGAAGTCAAGGCTCCTGGGCTGGTTTCCTGGCTATTCCACACACGCCAAGACCTAGAGAGATTTGTGGAGCTGGAGGGGACTCTGCAGATTATTTATTTGATTTGAGACTGAAGAACCTAGAAACCAAACAAAGAAATATCATATGGCTACTTTGGTATCTGACACAGCCATGACACCAATTGCTAGTGTAGACACAATAGCTGTGTGTCTTTTTGCAGGAGCCTGGGGAGGGGCCATGGTGCCAATTCACTTACTGGGGAGACTGGAGAAGCCACTTCTCCTCCTGTGCTGCGCCTCCTTCCTACTGGGGCTGGCTTTGCTGGGCGTAAAGCCAGACATCAGCCCCATTGCTTATTTCTTTCTCACATTGGGTGGCTTCTTCTTGTTTGCCTACCTCCTGGTCCGGTTTCTGGAATGGGGTCTTCGGTTCCAGCTCCAATCAATGCAGACTGAGAGCCCAGGGCCCTCAGGCAATGCACGGTGAGTTAAGGGGTGGGTATCATGAGAGGAATACACCTTGGGCCCATCCTCCCTCTTCCTGTAGTCTCTGAGGCATAGAGTCTCCAGTTTCCTCTGTCACTGGTATCAGCGGGAGGAGGAGGCAGGGGCCAACAGAGGATCTTTTGCCCGAGGCAGACAAAAAAAGGAAAAAAGGGCTTCTTTCATGAAAGCCACCAATGACCTTATTTCTCCTCCCTCAGGGACAACGAAGCCTTTGAAGTGCCAGTCTATGAAGAGGCCGTGGTGGTGCTGGAATCCCAGTGCCTCCCTCAACAGCTGGACCAACCACCCCCCTACAGCACTGTTGTGATACCTCCAGCACCTGAGGAGGGACAACCTAGCCATCCAGAGGGGTCCAGGAGAGGACTGGAGAGGCGAATGGCCTCAGAGGGGTCTATGGCCCAGGAAGGAAGCCCTGGAAGAACGCCAATCAGCCTCCGGCTTCGGGGACCACGGGCTGTGTCCACTGCTCCTGACCTGCAGAGTTTGGGGGAACTCCCCAGATTAGAGCCTCTGACTCCACCCCCTGCCTATGATGTCTGCTTTGGTCACCCTGATGACAGTGTTTTTTATGAAGACAACTGGCCACCCCCTTAAACGACTCTCCCAAGATTTCTCTTCTCTCCACACCGGACCTACTCTTTCATTTGATCAACGTTTTCCAGTGCCTACTATGTGTCAGAAACAGTGTTTCTGCCTGGACATCATAAATGGGGACTTGAACTCTCAGAAGAGTCAGGCCACAGTAAGCCCTCCCCAGTTGAGATGTGGGTGGCATAATTTGAGTCTTCTGGAAACATTTGGTGACCTACCCCATATCCAGTATTTCCTGCATTAGATTGAGGATGAAGTAGAGAGGTAATCCAGAGAAGGTGGAGAAGGAAGAATTAACATCCAAGAGGCAGCTATTGCTTCTGTTCCAGGTACTGTTAGAGCTGTTAGATCCCTTAGGCTTGCCAGTTTTGTGAGTTATTATTGAAAAGTGAGGATTCCAAGAGTCAGAGGAATTTGATAATGTGCATGAGGGCACACTGCTAGTAACAGCATTAAAATAACTTGAATGAACTCCTGATCCCAAAGCGTATTGCGTTTTCTTTCCTTTTTTTTTTTTCTCACTCTTGCAACCAGGCTGGAGTGCAGTGGTACCATCTCGGCTCACTGCAACCTCTGCCTCCCGAGGTTCAAGCGATTCTCTTGCCTCAGCCTCCGGAGTAGCAGAGTAGCTGGGATTACAAGTGCACGACACCACGCCTGGCTAATTTTTGTATTTTTAGTAGAGATGGGGTTTCACCGTGTTGGTCAGGCTGGTCTCGAACACCCGACCTTGTATCCACCTGCCTCGGCCTCCCAAAGTGCTGGGATTACAGGCGTGAGCCACCGCGCCCGGCCACCTTTTGTTTTCAACACAAAATAACAGGAAGCCAAGCCACCTGCATGTCTCCCAATCCCTGTCTAGGGACAGCTGCTGGTGCGGAGTGGAAAACTTCCCATACACAGAATGGGGGGCCAACTGTGTCTACAGAGAGGTGGGCTGAGCATGAGCACCCATGTTCCCCAGCCTCCTGGAGGAGCAAAGTCAGTCAAAGCTCTGGTGATCCCTGCTCCGAGTGGGTAGCAGTGACTGTACCACTCCTGCCCAGGGGCTAAAGAGCAGTCCCCATCCTATCTGAACACAGTGGAGTCAGTGGCCCTAGGTGGGCGGACTTCCAGTTTTGACAATGGTGTGTATGAAGGCCAGAAAGAGGGAAACGTGAGCTTTCTGGAGAGGAGATTCCCTCTTGAATCATCCATTATGCAGCCCCAGGGCCACTTGCAAAGCGTCTCCAATCGCTTCTGCCTCACTCCTGCGCTCAGACCTTTAGGCTTTTACTCCAGCCGCGGGTCCTGCTTCCCGAGATCACAATATTGAGCACCAGATTTCCTGGACTTGGGTGCCGCCGCTGCGATGCAGGTTTCGGCCGCTGGAAGCTGCTAAACCATAGCTGACGCCGCCTCCCAGCCAGCCTTCCTTCCCTGCGCCGGCATCTGTCCAGCGCCTGGTCGCGCTCTCAGTCTCCTCCACAGCCTGACCCCAACAGTTCGCTTCAATAAAGCAAAACTCCAGCCACGCCCGTCTCCGTGAAGTTATCGCTATAGGCGGGGCAGGGGGCGCAGGAGGCCCCGGGAAGATTTCCGCGGGAATCGAAAACCAATCGGATTCCCAGGCCGGACGCAGCACACCCGCCCGCCCCCGCTCTTTTCCCGCCCAGCTCTGTTCCCTCCTTGCCTCTTCCCTTTCCGCCGAGCTCTCCCGCTTCACCCCATTGGACCCCGCGGCTGCCGCGAGAGTTCTGCGCCTGCGCACGCACCGGCCCCCGGGGGGGGGGGGGGGGGAAGGGTGGGGTGGCGTGGGCGCGCGACGGCGCGCAGGCGCAGGCGCGGTGTGTGTCCGCGGCTAGGGGAGGGATGTGGGGTAAGCGACGGCCTCCGGTGTGTTTGCGCTGTGGGCGGTGCACATCACAGAGCCCACGAAAGGCGGGAGATGGCGGCGCCAAGCGCGGAGTCCCGGTCCACCCTCCAGCACAAGAGGCTGATGGCCGCTGATATGGGGCGCAGGTAAGTGGGAATGGGTCTTAAGGCTCCTTAGCGGAGCCCAGGCAAGGGGAGCGTGGGCCTCAGGCGTACGGCCCTGCAGCCCCCTCCTCTCGGAGCCCCTGAAAGCAGCCTTGTCCGAGCTTCCTGCCAAGCGTGGAAAGCCCGGTAGAGCCAGTTCGTGCCTGACTCCGCGCACTAGCGCGCGGGCGGACCTCTTGGCCTTGTCCCTCGTGGGAAAAGACTGCCCCAGCCTTTCTTCGTCCAACCCACGAGGGTTCTGAATAAGGGGAGCTCTTTGCAGTCCTGCCGGATCTTGGCTTCTCTTGAAGATTCCCCATTCTTTCCTCTGGCTCCCTTATGAGGGAAACTGTAAGTTGACTATACACTGTCCCCTTAAAAACTGACGAGACCTGCAGACCTCGGTGCTCTGCCTGATCTGCATTTGATTTGTGTCGACTGTATCATGATCTGCATGGCTTTGCATATGATTACCATATTTTCAAAGAAGTCAATAAAGGGTTTGGAAATTGAGTACTTTTGACAGGACAAAGGGGTTCTTGTGGCTCCAAGTGTCCATGCCTCTGCCTGGTCATTCCATTTCATGGCAGGCATCACCCAAGAGAACATTGTAATGCCTCCTGCTCGAGACCGAAGATTAAGGTCTTCGTGAAGGGAACCTGTAGAAGAACACAGAATTAAAACGTAGAAACCCCTGTGGTTGTCCTTTACCCCCCCTCCCCTTCCAGTTGTGTCCCAAAATTGTCTGATTGGAAACTTTTGTAATATTCACATTAAATTCTCTGGAGTAGAGGAAGGAACAGGTGTGCAGAGTGGGTGATACTTCAGATTAAAACTAAAATCTCTTTGTGTCTTTGGATCTAAAGTGAGTGTTCTATAGACAGCACATAGATGATCATGTGTTCTTATCAATTTAGCTAATTTTGCCTTCCCATCAAAGAGGTTAATCCATTTACCCAAAAGGTAATCATTTATAATGGGCCATGTGCAGTGGCTCACGCCTGTAATCCCAGTACTTTGGGAGGCCAAGGCAGGTGGATTGCTTGAGACCAAGAGTTTGAGACCAGCCTGACCTGGTGAAACCCCATCTCTACTAAAAATACAAAAATAGGCCAGGTGTAGTGGCTTGAATTTTCAAATTCAAGTCTGAGGCCAGAGGCGGTGGCTCACACCTGTAATCCCAGCACTTTAAGAGGCCGAGGCGGGTGGATCACCTGAGGTCAGTAGTTCGAGACCAGCCTGACCAACATGAAGAAACCCCGTCTCTACTAAAAATACAAAATTAGCCAGGTGTGATGGCATGTGCCTGTAATCCCAGCTACTCAGGAGGCTGAGGCAGGAGAATCCCTTGAACCCGAGAGGCGGAGGTTTTGGTGAGCCAAGATTGGGCCATTGCATTCCAGCCTGGGCAACAAGAGCAAAACTCCATCTGAAAAAAAAAAAAAAAAGAAAAGAAAACAAAATTCAAGTCTGGAACTCGAGAGTTAAATCTAAATCAGTAACTTGCAAGTATGGGTGAGATTACCTAGGTAAAGACTCTTTGAGGGGGCGTCCCTAATGGAATATTAACATTAAGGGCAGTCCAAAGGCCCTCTAAAGAAAAGAGGAGCTGGGTAAGCAGAGAGAAGACACCAAGAGAATGATGTCATGGAAACCAGGGGAAGAGAATGATTTAAGGAGCAAATACTTCTGGTAAACTAAAGGAGGAAAACTGTGGCATCATTGGTTGGTATCCCAGCTGCAGTGTTATATATCATCACTATTCCTGCTTTGATCTATTTGAAAGTGATTCATTCTTAAATGGGGTTTTGATTTCTATAGCTTTTGTTCTTGTAGCCAGTTTTTACTGAAAGTCTGGGGTAACGGAAATATTACAGTAAAAAGAAGGAAAAATGGAGTTTCAGACTCACTTTTCCAAACTCAGATTCATTGGCTGCTTCCAACCCACTTCCTCTGCTTTGCTATTCTACCTGCTCCCTTAGGTCTCTTGGTTCCTCCAAGACCCTGTGTTTCCCTCTTCTTATTATTTTATTTTATATTATTTTATTTGAGATGGAGTCTCTCTGTGTTGCCCAGGCTGGAGTGCAGTGGCACGATCTTGGCTCACTGCAACCTCCGCCTTCTGGGTTCAAGCAATTCTCCTGACTCAGCCTCCCAAGTAGCTGGGACTACAGGCATGCACCACCAGACTCAGGTAATTTTTTGTAGTTTTAGTAGAGACAGGGTTTTAACCATGTTGGCCAGGCTGGTCCCAAACTCCTGACCTCAGGTGATCTGCCCATCTCAGCCTCCCAGAGTGCTGGGATTACAGACGTGAGCCACCATTCCTGGCCTCCCCTCATTTTTTAACACCTTAGAAATCAGGATGCATTTTAGAGTTTTTAAGTTATAAACTGAAGTTATATCTTCACTGCTATCACGTGCCACCCTTACAGTCGTTACATATTTGGAAACTGACTGGGCAGGCTAGAGAACTCCGGATTTATGTAAACTAGGCATATAGATGACATATATTGGTAATAGGATTATTTCAGTTTATAAGCAGAAGCTGATCTCTTTGCAAGCCCGTAGCAAAATTAGCTGGAGGTGACAGCATGTGCCTATAGTCCCAGCTACGTGAGAGGCTGAGGCAGGAGGATCGCTTGAGTCCAGGAGTTCTAGGCTATAGTATTATGTGCTATGCCAGTTGAGTGTCCACACTAAGTTCATCATCAATGTGGTGGTGATATCCTGGGAGCCAGGGTCCACCAGGTTGCCTAAGGAAGGGTGAACCAGCCCAGGTGGGAAACAGAGCTAGTGAAAACTTCTGTGCTGACCTGTAATGGTATCATACCTGTGAATAGCCACTACACTCCAACCTCGGTTTCATAGTGAGACCCTGTCTCTTTTAAAGTAAATAAATAAGTACCTATCACTGTGACTTTGTGTCATACTTTCTGCTTATCCACATCTTAACAGGATTCTGATCATTTCTAATGCCATTTTGTCACTGGAACTTAAAAAAACATGTAATTATATTACTAGTATCTGTCTCATTTACTTTCTGTTAAAGCCATTGGCTTGAGTTTTTGCCATAGCATTATTTTAGTACTCATCCAAGATAATTATACACATAAATCACTTTCAGCAGCTTAGATAAATAATGGGAGATGTTTTCTGAAATAATTCTCTTAATTGAAATTGGTCTATCAGAGAAGTATTCCTTCTCATGAATATTGTGCTTGGGGATATTATTTTGCTTAAGATAGATATTTCCCTCCCCTAGTCAGACCATTCATCTCAGATGATGTCAGCTGAACATAAACCATAGAGAATTAGAGATTTTTTTATGATCAATGTGCTTAGTACATCTTTGATTTAACCATTCAATAAATATGCATAATCTTGGTTATCGTAAGTCTTATTAGTCTTTTTGTTCTTCTGACTCATGCCTCTTCCACTCCACTCTTCTGTGCCAAATCTTGTGCTTGATAGCCTTTCCCTCTCCCTTTTATCTGTAGGATATTGGGAGTGTATGGCATGCATCCTGACCATCAGGAAACTCTAAAAAAGAACCGAGTGGTGCTAGCCAAACAGCTGTTGCTGAGTGAACTGTTAGAACATCTTCTGGAGAAGGACATCATCACCTTGGAAATGAGGGAGCTCATTCAGGTATGTGGAGGCAAAAGAGAGAAGATAAATAGATCATCGGGGTGAGAACAGCATGACAAAATACAGAAAGGATATCATACCTTTCTAAGAAAATGGAAATACCCTTCTGCCTTAGAGCATTTGACAGAAATGATATATAATTCAAGAATAATAGGAAGGACTTCACCCAAACATACTATTCCTGTAAAAAGAATTCTTGAGATGGATGAGGACACTACCAGGAAGCTCAAGTGGGGAAACAGAATGATAGCTAGAGAAATAAATAGGATTTTATGTTTTATTTTTGTGTCTTAGGCCAAAGTGGGCAGTTTCAGCCAGAATGTGGAACTCCTCAACTTGCTGCCCAAGAGGGGTCCCCAAGCTTTTGATGCCTTCTGTGAAGCACTGAGGGAGACCAAGCAAGGCCATCTGGAGGATATGTTGCTCACCACCCTCTCTGGGCTTCAGCGTGTACTCCCGCCGGTACGGAGCCCTAGAAATCTGGCGTGTTGGGAAGGGTTAGTTTGACTGGAAAGGACTTTGAAAGTCAGGGTAGGGGAGACTAGATTTTGTTGGATTTGGACCGGACCACCTCCCTAAGGTCTATCGTCATGAGTTTTGATTTCTTACAGTTGAGCTGTGACTACGACTTGAGTCTCCCTTTCCCGATGTGTGAGTCCTGTCCCCCTCACAAGAAGCACCACCTGTCGACAGGTGAGAATTGATGGAATAAAAGGGGTCCCAGATTGACTTCCCCTTTCTTGTCTGGTATCTGGCTTTGCCCTAACATGAGCCTTTTTTTTTT